ACGCTATCACCGTTAGTGTGGACGCACAAAGTCGAATTACTGTCCTTAGTGTGGACACACACGTTCGACTTTGCAATATCGATTACAAAAATTCGATGCAAGTAAAATCGAACTACTCTCGTAGTGTAGACAAGGCCTTAGACTCGTCAATCACCAACAAGGCCATCAACCATGCTCTTTTTTCTTGAAATCTTGTCCTCCCTTAGCTTCTATGATTCTGTCCTCTCCTGTTTTTCCTCCTACCTCACAAGTTGCTCCTTCAGATGTCCTCTGGAGGATGCTCCTCATCCCCCCACTCCAACTTTCTGTGGGGGTTCCACACAGGTCTGTCCTTAGTCCCTTTCTCTTCACCCTCTACACTGGATCTCCACGTAATCTTATCTACAAATACAAATCAATTACCATCTGTAATGACTCTCAGATCTCTATCGCTACTCCAGACCAGTCTCCTTTTGTCCAAACTAATATCTTGGCCTGCCTCTCTGACATCTACTCATCGATGCCTAACTGTCACCTCAAGATCAGCATGGCTCAGACAGAACTCTTAATCACCCCCAGTCACTCCCCGCTACCTCCTTTCTTGATCACTGAGGACAATATCACCATCCTACCTGTCACTAAGGTCCAAAACCTGGGCATCACATTAGACTCCAACTTTGTCTAGATCCTCACATCCAGGCTAAGTCTAAATCCTGCTTATTGTTTCTGCATAATATCTCCTAGATACGGCCTTCCTATCCATGTACACACCTAAAACTCTCATGCAGTCTCTCATCATCTCATGTCTTGATTACCACATCTTTCTCTCTTGCCTTGATAAATGCACTTTTGCCTTGCTTATCTCCATTCTGAACACTGCTGAAAAGATCATTTTCCTAGCCCATCATTCTGACCACCTCATCCCTCTTTTGCATCCCTACAGTGGCTTTCCCTTTTCTATTACAACAAACATTAGCTCTCCGTCTTCATTTTCAACTCTTTTCATGACCTATGCCTACCCCACCTATCATTTCTCCTTCACTATCAAGAGATTGACTTCTGCCTCCCATTAGCCCATGATGGGCTTCCATCACCCACTTGTTACATTTTCAAGCACCCTCCTGCATTCTCCCATACTGCCCCTTATACTTGTGAGGATTTACCCTTATCAACGATAGGCCACGGGGGTGCTGAGATCACTGCCTGGCACGCTGACCAATAATGTCTCGTTGTTTCCTTGTACTCCCCCATCCATCTGTCTGGTGTCTTAGATTATAAGTTTTTTGGAATAGGGACTTTTTGTTCTGTTTGTACAGCGCCTGGCATAATGGGGTCCTGGAACATGACTAGGTCTCGCAGGCCCTATCATTGCTATGAGCCAGTATGTCAGAATCTGGCCCCAAGTGCTTTGCAAACTTTAATGAATTGAGCCTCCACCCCTTAGCAGGTTAAGTGCCATCACTCCATTTTTCAGTTGGAGAAACAGAGACAGAATTTAAAGGATTTGCTCAGGATCACACAGGGAGACCATTTCAGGGCTACAAATGCAGCCCAGCAGAAAGGTGCCCAAGCCATGAAATGTGGCTCTACAGTTCAATCGAAATATCTCCGAGTTGGAGGGGGAAGAGTGTTTGTATCTGCAACTCTGCTTTACTCAGGGTCAAGATTTTCACCGCTGGCTGCCTATAGTTAGGCACCTAAGGCTGTGATTTTCAAGGGGGCCAAATGGTGTGAGGAGCCCAAATCTCATAGAAAGTCAATGGGAGCTGGGCACCCAACTCTCCTGGGCACCTTTTAAAATCTCAGCCTAAGATCATTTTTAAACAGCTAGCTAACTGGACTGAATTTCCCTGGTTTCATTTGGTGCTGCTCAGCATTTTAAAAATTCCACCCTTAAATAAATGGCTTGATTTTTAAATGGAACCTAAGAGAGTTAGGTGTCCCCCAAAATCCCAATTTAGATGCCTAAATATGGATTTAGGAGCCTAATTTTAGGCAGCCAAGTTTGAAAATCTTGATCCAGCTGTTCTAATTCGCTGTCCCGTGCTTTAACTACTAGCCCGTGCATCTTGTGCTTAATGATTCAAACTTACACTGGAGGCTATCAAGAATAATTAATAAATGTGAGTGCTATTTATACTGGAAGAACTGATGCAACATTTATCCTTAATGAAGCCTGGGACTGGCCCAAACTGAATGTAAAAAGAAATCTGACCCAGCCGAACCTGGAGAAAATGTTGCATTTTGTGTGATAATGCTGGCAGAGCAGATCCGCTGAACTCTGCTGGCAGTAATAACACACATTGCAGCATATGGGAGCTGCAATCTGTCAATGTTGAATTAGAAGCACCGGCCTGTATTCTTTTCTTAGGTTTTAATTTTAAATTAGAGCACATACTGCGTAGGATGAGAGAGTCAATCTATTCAGAAAGCCATAATTATATCCCGGTAGCAATGTCAACAGAATAGTGTTTATCACGAACACGATCACAATGGGAGAGAAACAGCTTCTTTGCATTTCAGTTTTCAACCAAAGAGAAATCTCGCCATTTGCTGCTCATAAAGCAAAATAATGCACAACCTAAAATAACTGCTTACCTGAGCGGAAAGTCTGGCGCCACAGTGAAACTAAAACATAAGGTTACAAGAACGCTGCTCAGAGTCTCTTCGGGCAGCAGAAAGCTATACTGGAAATCCTTTGCATTGTATTCCAGTTTAGAAGAGGCTTGAGCCGAGCTACAGTGTGTGTAATGCAGCTTGTCCTAGGCTTGCAGCAGGGAGTACAGCCAGTTCTCCTGGGCTGCATGCAGTCTTAATAAAATAGCTCAGAATGCCAGGGCGGCAGGAATTCTCCCGCATCCCACCCACTTTCATTTAGCTGCGGCAGTCCCTACCTTTCTAGTCCCTCTGGATTGCTAAAGAACTTCATGCACCTTTCAAAGGGCTTCACTGCAGAAACCCTCTGGGGGCTGACAGGAGGCCTTTGGCTGTGATGTCAGAGTGAAGAAGGCCAGTGAACTTCTCTTGCTTAACCTCTTCGCTGCTGTTGGATACTTGTATCTTCTCATGCTGCGAGAACTGTATGACATCAGGGCGTGACCCAATGCTGGGGGCAGACTCAGGGTTACTATAGCGCTGGGAGCTGTCGGGGATGTGGGATACCATTCATGTGGGGTGCAGGGGTTTTGAGTGCAGTCAGGATGGGGTGCTAGGGAATGGCACACAGGAGGGTGGGCTGCCAGATACCTCATGTGCACCCCATCCATCCCTCCCTCCAGAAACAGGGTTTCCTCCCCCACTCATGTTTTTTGTTTTTTTACTGCTCCCCCCATATATAGCAGGCACAGCACAAGGAGATGTGTCTATGTAAACAGGAAATAAAAACATTCATTCAAACCATGGTGTCCTGGCCTCCTGGGTCTCTGTAATCACTATCTGGTGGTAGTAGTGGGGTCAAATAAAGACCCAATAGATCACAGAACACCTCTGTGAAATGGGAAACAGAAAAACAACCCCTTCATCCCAGCCAGAACAGCCAAAAAGCTATACAGAGCACACAGTAAAACATAAAAAGAACAGGAGGACTTGTGGCACCTTAGAGACTAACAAATTTATTAGAGCATAAGCTTTCGTGGACTACAGCCCACTTCTTCGGAAGAACTTAAAAACCAGAGGCCTCAGAAAGAACCATTAAGGGGAGTCCAGGCTGCAACAGGCTGTCAGGATAGGAAAGTAAGGGACACTGAAGCTAAGGCTAGGACTCCAGCAACAAATCTAGAGTCTTAAAATATTAGATGCGGTTACTCCTGACCCAGCCTTTTCCTGGATATAACAGGAAGAACTAAATAAATCATGGGGTCTCTCTCTCTCTCTCTCTCTATATATATATATATATACACACATAAGAGGTTACTGAATGTGTCTGTAAGAGCCGAGCTAGGACGGGAATCTGGGAGCATTTGTAAACAAAGCAAGAAGCTTTGCCACGAGACCAGCCAAGCCATTGTGCAGTAAAAGTCGTCATGGGCCTGTGTAAAATTTGAAAGGAAAGAAGCTAGGAAGAGGGCATCCGTTTTGGTTTTTTTAAATCACTTCTGAGAGACTGGATCTGAGACTGGTCCCTTGCACGTGAATCTGTGGCCTTTCCAGTGGTCCATCAAACAATTGCACCCTGTCCCCCGGTACTTCTTACATGGAAAGAACTGTGCAACACACACACACACACACACAGGTAGCTTTGAGACATGACGCAAAACCTTACAGACACTGCTACTACCCTGTAGGGGTTAGACACATGCAAGAGGTGCACAGAGCCTGCCCTCCTGTGGTGAGTTAGGGATATAACATCAGTGTCTCTGTGGAAGTGATGCTGCAGGTGGGATGGGCTGTGGGCAATCAGTCTCTCTGGGAATAAGGCTTTGTAGGGGATTTGTTTTTTCCATAGACTCATTTATTAGAAGGCCAGAAGGAACTATTGATCACTTAGTCTAAACTTCTACATAACACAGGGCACAGAATTTCCCTGAATTAATTCCTGTTTGAGCAGGAGCATAACTTTCAGAAAAACATCCAATCTCAATTTAAAAATTAGTGATGACGGAGAAGGGGATATTCTGTAGCAGGGATCCCTCAATCTCTCCTAAATAATTAAAGTCATTAGGAGGGAAAGGAGGAGAGAGAGTGAGAGGGCACAAACACAAGAATGGGCCCTAAGTGACTTGTACAAGGTCACACAGTCCATGTGTGGTAGAGCTGGGGATGGAACTCAGGAGGTCCAGCTCCCAGTCCAGTGCTTTAACTACAAGATCATCCTTCTTCTCTTAAATTTGGGCCAAAAGCAATTAAAATATACCACCTGGAAGTCTGACATGTTGGCTGACATTTATTTATGATAGAATCACTTTTACATGCCAAATTTGTGTATATAAAAACCATAGACCTCCTGGAGCGGTTATTTGGTTGGTTGAAGTGAAGACATCCTAGATAGCTGAGGTCCAAGGGGAAATATCTGCAATGTTGGGAAGAGAGAGCAAGGGGAAAGGTTGGAACTAATTTATTTCTTGCCCTTCTTGCCTTTGCCCTTCTTCTTTCTCTTTGACTTTAACAGTGACCTAACCAAGTAGCCCTTCCAGAAGGCCTGAATGTGGGTGGCAGCACGGACCATGATAGCCAGTTCCCTCTCAGCTCTTTCCTTCTTCTCTTGGGATTGCCTCCTCTCCTCCTTGATCTGGGAATACTCTTGTTCAAGCACGGCGTACTTCTCCTTCAGCTGAGCCAGCTGGGCCTTCTCTTCAGTATAGACAGCATCGACTTCCTCATACTCAGTCTGGTGGGACAGCAAACACCAGACTTATAAATGACATTCATAATATCACCCTATATTTAGCATAGGTAGCGTCTTTCCAGAAGGATCCCAAAGAGCTTTACAGACTGGATCCGAATAGGGATCGTTTCATCCTCACAAATGCGTGCAGGGCCACTTGCAGCCCTTATTCTTTTCATCTCTCGGGAGGGAATTTTCAAAGAGGTCTAAAAGGAGGCACCCAATTGGGAGCTGGGTTCCCAGTTCCTTTAGGCTTCTTTAAAAACTGCAGGCATGGTTCCAATTGTTACCATCCATTGCCTTGCAAGGCCAGGCAGCGAGACTCTCAACTTATTAAGCAACTTTTTATCTATGGTATAAACACAATCAGCTGGATGATGGTGGTTTATTGTCATTATAACCAGGAGCGGTGCCAGGGTTTTTGCCGCCCTAGGCGGCAGCACTCCTCCTCAGAGCATTCGGTGGCGGGGGTCCTTCCGCTCCGTGTCTTCAGGGCACTTCGGCAGCAGGTCCCTGAGCGAATGAAGGACCCGCTGCCGAAGCGCCCCGAAGACGTGGAGCGGAAGGACCCCCCTCCGCCGAATTGCCGCTGGGGACGGCAAAATGCCACCCCGCAAATCCTGCCACCCTAGGCAACCGCCTATGGTTGCCTAGTGGAAGCACCGGCCCTGATTATAACCCAGCTGCAGGTATGAAAATAAGCAGTATGGAGATAACATGCTCACATGATAGGATAAGGGGAACCAGCAACATTTTGTGTGTCAGACCTACCAACCCCAATTTATCGAATTCTGCCTCTGTTCTCATGATGATGGCTTCATGGGCAGCCAGGAACCAGCAGGGCTTGGTGCCACAAGCCATCATGTACCGAGCTCATTTCTGCTTCCTACTACAAGGTTGACAAAGCAAGGACCTACTATTAAGGCCAATCAGCAACAATTTTCCAGGTCCCCCTCCTTAGGCCCTTGCTTTGCTGTTAACCAAGCACCTTGTCCTGATCTGGATAATGAAGCAAACCTCCACTAAGATGCCAGGAACATGTGAGGAATTAGTGGATTCTAGGAGGGGTTAGGCGGTGTGGACATGATTTTAAGACTCTTAAGCTTAATGTGGAAGATAGACAATGATGCATTTGCTGTCACTCCCCAGACTCTGAACTAGTTGTCTAACAAGTTAGCAGTGATGTGGAAGAGCACTTGATTTGTACACTAGGTGGAGCCAGTAGGGCTAAGGAAACTAACATGATAATTCCATCCAATACACTGAGGAAACAATCATCCAGTGCTAGGATAGGATAGGATTTTGCAGCTGACATGACCCTTCTCAACAATGACTATACAGCAGAGAGCAGCTGAACACAAAAGCAGGGCAGAAAAATGGTTACTTGCCTGATAATAACTGTGGTTCTTCTTTGAAATGGCTTGTCTGTGTACATCATATGCACCCCTTGTGTGGGATCCACATGGACAAGCCCTCTCGAAGAAGAACCAACTGTCTTGACCACTGAGGGTACCTGTTTTTCTCCCATGTCAGCATCATATTTCTGGATCCAGTTCTCGATTTCCATCTCCACTTTGTACTTCTTCTAAAATAAACGACACAGGAAAAAATGACATTTACAGGCAGCTGAACATAGAAATATAACATGCAGTATGCTGGGATGAAAGGAGCTGTGATTTGAATCCCAGCAGCTAGTACGCTTGAGTGATGCCTGCTCCTTTCGGAAAGGTTCTTCAATCCGAGATGTTTTTTTCTCCGACTCTGGGCCTCTAATGGAGAGCAGACGTCATTCACCTACAGAATATGGGGCAGGCTTGGTCTACAGCAAGTGGCTGGGATTCAGTTGCAGCACAGAGACACTAGACTGATTACAGTGATGGGCGTGGTTAAAATACAGAAATGTTTTGGACCCGTTGGAAAATGAGCTAAAAATGACTTGACCTCACTGTGTGGTGGAATCCTAGAGAGCTATTGAACAATTTCCTTCAAGCTGATGGTACCTGCACTCTATAGAACCACTCAGATTTTAAGGCCAGAAGATCATCTAGTCTGACCTCCGGAATATTACAGGGCAGAGAATTTCACCCGGTTAAGCTTACCCATTCACTGTTCAGAGACCCAGTTCCCTATTTGACCACACCTCTTCTGCATGGATGATATAAGAGCCAGGTTTCTGGCAGGCCTTGATGACCAACTCCTGCTTTTATATGAGGTAGATTAGCCTATGATTGTTCCCAGTTCTTCACACATGAATTCCTCAATCCAATGAAAACAGTGGGTCATAGGGGAAGAGCACGTAGGAAGGGAAAGGAGACTTCGGTGGTGAGAAAGTGTGTTCTCTTTCTTCCCCTACTCCCTCAGCATGTATAATTGATCGAGCTGAGCGGCTTTTAACAGAAAGCAGAGAAATGACCTGCAGCTTGAATTTGAGCCGGACGACAAAGCAGGCCTAACGATGGATGGGGCTGCTTGGATTTCATACTGCTTTGGAAACTTTCATTTGCCACGTTGGCAGAGCCCCTATGCTACGAAGCCTTATTCTGCCCTGGACTGGACAGTGTTTGGAAAGAGCTAGAGAAGATACATCATGTAAACACCCTTTAAGTAGGTATGTTCTGCCTGCAAATTGGCCTCTGCCCATTTGGACTGAGCACTGATTAGAAAAGAAACGGGGATGTTTTTTAACGCTATAGATTTTTCCTGCACAATTCAGCCACTTTCCAGCAGGAACAATACCACTAGGGTCGTGTTGTGAGGCCTTGGAGATTCTGATGATTGGAAGGGCCAGTCAAGGTTGTTTGTACAGCACCTAGCTAAGTGGAAAGTGAGGATGCTGTCTGACTGATGTCATTTCCTCTGGTGGTCTCAGATTTCTGCCCTTGTTTCTCAGAATAAGTTTGTCTCCCTTGCACTTTGCAGCAGTCATTTTGCAGAATTCTGACTGCTTCATTGACTGACTAGAGCACTGTGTAACCTGTGCTATATATTGAAAGTGTTTTCAGAGGCAGGCTGGACCCAGTATGTACATGTTCGGTGGGAGCTATAGGTAATTACAAATAAGACCCTTTGCTGATGGGTAGCTGTGATTCTGCTTTCCAGTGAAATCAGTGGCATGTTAGATCATAGCTGATATGCTCAGCTGCACAGCAGGTACATTCTGCCAGGAATGTTTGTTAGCAGTTAACAGGTTTCAGAGGGGTAGCCGTGTTAGTCTGTATCAGCAAAAACAACGAGGAGTCCTTGTCGCACCTTAGAGACTAACAAATTTATTTGGGCATAAGCTTTCGTGGGCTAAAACCACTTCATCAGATGCATGAAGTCTTGTCAACTGTCTGTAATGGGCCACGCTCTTACCACTTCAGAAGTTATTTTTCCTCCCTTGGTATCCTGCTGTTAATTGATTTATCTCGCTAGACTGACCTCACCCTTGGTAAAGCAACCCCCATCCTTTCATGTATTTATACCTGCTCCTGTATTTTTCATTTCATGCATCTGATGAAGTGGGCTCTAGCCCAAGAAAGCTTATGCCCAAATAAATGTGTTAGTCTCTAAGGTGCCACAAGGACTCTTCGTCGTTTTTGTTAGCAGTTAAGTGGTTAAGCTTAGCAGACAAAATGAAGAACTCACAGCACTTTAACAGGTCTGCTTGCTTCTCTAGAACTCCCCTCCCTCGGTACCTTTCTGAGAGCCAGCTCTGAGTCTCGATTGTCTATGATGAGAACATTGAGCTGTGCTCTTAGCTGCTGTATATCCTGCTGTATCTTGGCACACTTTGCCTGGGAAATTCGCAGCTCCCCTTTTTGGAGTTTCTCTGCTTCCTGCTTGGTGCGCTGGATGTGGCTTTCAGAGAACTTCTCCAGATGAAGTAAGTGGCTTTTGAGATCCCTGATTGCAGCATTCTTTTTCATAATCTAAACCCAGGAAAAAGAGGCACCATAAGGAACTGCTGGGTACATCAAGGGGTTTTCAGATCAAACCTACAGGAGAATCAAGGCTTAGTTACAAAGACACCAGTGTGCTAAGATAAGTAACTACATTCCAATGACAGTGAGTACACTGCATTTGCACCAGAACTCTGAAATAAATATTGGTGCAACTCCCAGTGACTTCAAAGGGAGCAGAGTTAGGCCAACACTGAGGCTTCGTCTACACTAGCGCTTACTACAGTATAACTTACATTGCTCAGGGGCGTGAACAATCCATACCCCGGAGCGATGTAAATTACACCATCCTAAGCACTGGTGTGGACAAGCATAGCTACTGCCTCTCACGGAGGTGGATTTATTATGCCGATGGGCGAGCTCTCTCTGGTTGGCAATGAGCGTCTTCACCAGATGCTCTGCAGCTGCACTGCTGTAGCGCTTCCAGTGTAGACAAGCCCGGAGTGAAATCTCCCCCCTCACTGACTCTTGTTGGACGTTTCGCGGACAGGCCAAGGAGTGAATGGGCAGCACTGAAGAACACCGGCTGGGCAGCACAGGGAAGCTGGCACAGCTGCGATCCATACTGGACCTGATCCAAAGCCCAATGAAGTCAGTGGAAAGACTCCTACTGAATTCAATGAGCTTGGGATCACGCTTCTTGTGCCTGTTCTGTGGCTAGCCTGGGCGACTAGTCCTACTGCCACCTAGAACAGACAAAACTACAGTCCAGCCACATGAAATGTATTTCCTTGCTAGCACTGAGTGAACTGCTAAACTGCACTTAAAAACGAGTGCATTGAATCACCAACATGCCTGACCTGAGCTTGAAAATGAGAACGCATCCCCGATGCCTCAGTTCCTCTGTAGATATCCCCCAAGTGCGAAAAAAAGGATGATCATCTTGCCTGACCTACTGCCTTGCTAAGTACACTTTGACCCCAGTCATTCAATCGGACCGTTTCCAGTGGACCTTAGGGCTTGTGCAGAGCCCCTCTGAAGTTAATGGGGCTCTAAATGAATGCAGTGGCTGCACACCTGGATCATAGCTTTAAATTGTAAAAGAAAAATAACTAGGTGCTGCTGCTAATAGAGCCCTATAAAATCATCACAGATATGTACCAGTCCAAGCCCAAACGCTACTCAGCTACCCTTCCCTGCAATGATCGGACCTATCACTTACCCCACTAATATATTTCTCACTCCGGATGAGGGGGTGGGTAGACTTTTGCAAGGCTGTATTAACAGATTACACTGGATGTCAGCTCATTACGCTGGATTTTAACTGGTTTTGGTCTAATTAAAGACTACAGGAGTATTGCTATTTTTATTGTACTCTGAATTAATTTTAAAAGAAAGAGATTAAAATGACTTTTGAATGCATCGCTGCTCAGAGCAATGGGAATCATGAATGCTGCATAATGAACATCCTCGTGTCAAATGGCCTGGCTAGAATAGCTGCTCAATGGTCTTCCTCGGACCTTGTGTATTTACCTCATATTTGGAAAGTCAAGCAGAAAGAAAGTGATTTGGGTTGGCATGCACGCGTGTGTGTGTATGTTGTCACCCACTGATTGGGAGGCAGTAATGGACATTTCGATTGTGGTTTTAAATAGTCACTGGGGAGGTCTTTTGGACAGAAAGGAGTAATTTGGAAACTGCTCCCAGCATTAAAACAAACTAACATACATATATGTTACAGAAGTTTAGTAGAAATGTTGGGATTTTTCTCCAAGGCCTTTTCCACTTGATTCCCAAGAAATTAACTCAACTCTGGTCTCATGACTGAGGAGCGTTTTTAACTGACACACAGCAACTCTGTGCTGAGGTGATCAACTCAAATGAAGTGGGGTGGGTATGAGCTTTACCACAGCTCCAAAGTACATCATAATAAATCAGATTATGTACGTATTTGAAAACAAACGAACGCATGTGCAGTACATTTCACATTGCAGCAGGATTTACAATTGGCTTCCTAATTTTTGTAGCCAGCCTCTGTACAGATCCGGAACTGCTGGTAAGCGAAGCTGCAGCTGTAAACTTATCACACATCACTCGTCTTACTACTTCTTTATCTCGTAACTACATGTTGTTTACAAGCCCACTTGTGAATTTACGTTTTGTCCATTGCTGATCTGTTTCCTTACTTCTGTTTTCTTTCATTGTTTATGCAAAGCCTACAAGATGGACTGGTACCTAGGGTTGCCAGGCATCCAGTTTTCGACCGGAACGCCCAGTCGAAAAGGGACCTTGGGGGCTCCGGTCAGCACCGCTGATCAAGCCATTAAAAGTCTAGTGGGTGCAGTGGGGCTAAGACAGGCTCCCTCTGGCTCCCAGAAGAAGCCAGCATGCCCTGTGGCCCCTAGGTGCAGGGACAATCAGGGAAGCTCCATGCGCTGCCCCCGCCCCGAGTGCCAGCTCTGCAGCTCCCATTGGCCGGGAACCACAGCCAATGGGAGCTGCGGGAGCAGCGCCTGCGGGCCTTGGCAGCGTGCACGGCGCAGAGCTGCCTGGCTGCCCCTGCGCCTAGGAGCCGGACATGCCAGCCACTTCTGGGAGCCGCGTGGAGCCAGGGCAGGCAGGAAGCCCTACTGCGCTGCAGACTGGGAGCCACCTGAGGTGAGCACCACCTGGCTGGAGCCCACACCCCAAACGCCCTCCCTCACCCCAACCCCCCTGTCCCAGGTTGGAACCACCTCCTGGAGCCCGCACCCCACACCCCCTCCTGCTGCCCAACCACCTGCCCCAGCCGTGAGCTCCCTCCTGTACCCCAGGTCCTTCATCCCCACCCCAGAGCCCATACCCCCTCCCGCACCCTAACCCCTCAGTTCCAAGCCTGGAGCCCGCTCCTGCATCCCAAATCCCTTATCCTCGGCCCCACCCCAGAGCCTGCACCAACAGCTGGAGCCCTCAGCCCTTCCCGCACCCCAACTCCCTGCCCCAGTGAAAGTGAGTGAGAGTGGGGGAGAGCGAGCGACAGAGGGGGAATAATGAAGTGAGTGGGGGGCGGAACCTCAGAGAAGGGGTGGGGCGGGGCCTCTGGGAAGGGGCGGGGCAGTGCCGGGGCAAGAGTGTTTGGTTTTGTGCGATTAGAAAGTTGGCAACCCCACCAGTACCCTATATGAAAACTGAAATGACTAGTTAAATAATTAGGGAGGAAGGAATAGTTTGTGTATAAGGCAACGGTGGACTGGAAGTCAGGAGATCTGGGTTCTTGTCTTGGCTCTGCCCACCAACCTGTAGTGTGATCTGAGCTAGGGTTACCATACGTCCAGTTTTTCCTGGACATGTCCGGCTTTTTGGTAATCAAACCCCCTTCCGGGGGGAATTGCCAAAAAGCCGAACATGTCCGGGAAAAATACTTCCCCTCCCGCGGCTGCTGTGCTCCCTACCTTGACTCTTCTGCTCTGTTTAAAGCCAAGCTGCGCGAGCGCTACCGGCTTCGGGCAGCCCCCATGCCTCTGGATCCTGAGCCGCCGGCCGGGCACTTCCCCTCCCGGGCTCCGGGGGTGCAGGGTCCAGAGGCATGGGGGCTGCCCAAAGCCAGTAGCACTTGGGCAGCTCGGTGCTTACAGAGCCCAGGAGTTCAGGGAGCACAGCAGCCGCCGGAGCCTGGGAGGGGAAGTGCCCGGCCGGGGGCGCAGGGTCTGGAGGCATGGGGGCTGTCCGAAGCCCAAGCGCTACCGGCTTCACGGTTTGCCGGGCAGCCTCCAGACCCTGCGCCCACGGCTGGGCGCTTCCCCTCCCGGGCTCCAGCTGTGCTGAAGAAGCGCCAGCCGGGGGCGCAGGGTCTGAAGGCTGCCTGGCAAACCATGAAGCCGGTAGCGCTCGGGCAGCCCTTTTCGTGTGGCTGGGAGGAAGGAGGGGGAATGTGGGGCGCTCAGGGGAGGGGGCGGAGTTAGGGCGGGGACTTTGGGGAAGGGGCGGAGTTGGGGCGGAGAAGGGGCAGAGTTGGGGCGCGGATGGGAAACGGGCGGGGCCAGGGCCCCGTGGAGTGTCCTCTTTTTTATTTTTTAAATATGGTAACCCTATCTGAGCCTCATTTTCCACAGCTGTAAAACAAAGAAACAATACTGCCTCAGAAAAAGGTTGTGAGCTTTAGGGCCAAATCCTTGTAGGTATTTTGGGGAATACCTTTGGGGATGTGGGCCTTAGTTCATTAATGTTCATGAGGCACAGAGATACTATGATGAAGGCCATAGAAAATGCCTATAACAAATATGTTAAATAGTGAATGTGGAGTCTATATTAAAAATGGATTTTTTTAAACAGTTTTTTAGAACTGTCTGTCATTGTTTCACTATCTCAGTTACAGGGAATGGTGCTAGTGCTTCTCAGTGAGAGCTGACATTATGGCCCTGATTATGAGGAGCTTTTGTGACTTCCTCTTTGCCACGGTGGCCAGTTAGAAGATATAGGCCACATACTTGCAGGCTGCACCCTGGTTCCCTTATGGATTTGCACAATGCCCTTCCTTTAGCTATTGAATGGTTCAGACACATAGACTAACATGCTTGACTTCACTGTCACTTTAAATTCTATCTATCTATCTATCTATCTATATGTGGCCCTGTCTACCCGAGACATTCAACTGTTTTTAACCATTCTTAAATACTATTTAAACTCAGTGGTGGGTGAACTGGGTTTGAACTGGCCAATGAAGATGGGGTCAAAACATGCTAGAACCATGTTTGAAAGCCTCAATCTAAATATGCAGTGATTCATTTTAATTATATTTAGAATGTAACAACTATTTCTAAATTCAGAAAATGTTTCAAGAAATATTTCAGTGACTTCCACTTTATGAGAAGCAACAGATTATATTTTAGTTTTCTGGCCTTTCCTTCAATGATGTTCCCCTCTAGCCTGAAATGTTTAGTCCTACTACCACTGTACCTCATCGTCTCGACTCTGGATTGCCGTTGCAAGTTCTGCCTCTAAAGCTGCGATGGTTTCAGTGTTTTTCTTATCCCGGAGGGAGATTTCTTCCATGAATTGAATCTTTTCTTGTTCTTCTAAGGGACTAGTCAGGAGTTTCTCAAACAAGAAGCCCCGGAACTCTGAAAGGCCTTTGATAAATAATTCAGATGATAAATCCCTAGCATAGGCCTCATCTCTCATGGCTTGAGAAGCTAGAGGGTCAGCCTGAAAGAGTCTCAGAATATTTCTGATAGAGCTTTTTACAGCTTGCTGGTGCAATTGAAGATGGCGGATTTGTTCCTCAGTTCCTACAAGGTCCCCTCTTCCATCTTCCTGCTTCAGGAGCCCTTCTCTTTGAAGCTGGGTAAGTAGAGCTACCATGTTGTTTGAAAGCCGCTCATGCTCCTTAAGGGAACCCAGAAGCTCAGATCCCAGTATAGTGCTTAAGCCATCCAGAAATTCAGTAATGTGAGAGATCAGACTGATCAATTCTATCTTAAAGATGGCCTCATCCAAAACAGATATGATCCTCTTGGTCTCAGCAGTGGTAAGTTTTGAACGACCTGGATCCAAGAGCTTTAGTGGGCTTGTTTTGATGGCTGACTTTTTTGGAGTCTGATTGTGTCCCACTGAGGACTTGCTGCTTGAATCTGTAGACTCATATGGCAACTGAAGCATGGTAGCCACCTCCGTTGCCATGTTCTCAGCCAAATGCTTACACGTTGAGTGTTCTAAGGTGAAAGGGAGCAAAAATCTTCTATATGGGTCGAGCCACAGAGGACATCTCAATCAAACAACAACTAGATCCCCCCGGTGCTTCAGCTGCATGCTCTTCTTTCACAAAATTTACCTTAAAAAAAGTTTGATTTCAGCATTAGCAACACGATATACGTTGGTAAAAATTGAGAATGTTGAGTTATACTGGGGCTGTCTCTAGGTTTAAAAGCACATTCAGGATATTGGGTCCTTACACCTATGACAGCCTGTCTCTGTGTTGGAGGTGAAACTATGTTAAGCCTCCAGTGGCACTGAGACAAAGTGATGAGCTATTTGTTCCCCAGGCTGAAAGGTGGCGGGAAAGCTCCCCAGTCCCGAGAAGAGACGGGGATGGTAGTGGGGATCCCTGGTTTCTAGGAGATGGAGAAGCTCTTCAGTGTCTCAGGGTCTGGATTAAGAGGCTCCCTGGTCTCTCTGGAGGCGGGTTGAACAGGGGCTGGTCTTTCTGAGCAGGTGGCCAAGTTGGGGTGTGTGTGTGTGTGTGTGGGGGTCCTGATCTTGTTAAAACGGGGGCAGGTTGGGGGAGGGGAGTCTAGGTCTCTCTTGGGGGGGTCAGACTGTGGCGAGGGGCTCCCCAGTCTCTTTGGAGGAGGGAGGGGGAGAGGGGGGAGAGGGCTTCCCTGTCTTCCTGCGGGTCCCCTCAAGGATCGGGGGGGCTCCCGGGTCTATTGGGGGCAGGGCTCCCCATCTCCCGGGGAGGTTCCCTGACTCGTCACATGCTCACATCAAAGCCGCCGCCGCCGCCGCCTCCCGTCCAGTCTCTTTCCAGCGTGTCTCTGTTGCTAGGTTACTCCATCACTAACCTTTAACCCCAAACACAGAAGGCGGGGACAGAGCCTCCCTGACTCTCCCCCCACCCCTCCCCGTAACCAATCGCCGCCCTTGCTTAGCACGCTTAGACCCGCCCCTTCCTTCTCCGGAGAAAGGCGGGGTCTCCAGTGTGTCACCGAGCCTTCTGACCAATCAAAAACGTCACCGCTCACCTCTACTTTGATGGGCGAGACCTCCAGCCAATGGCAGGACAAAAGGGGAGAAACCCGGATCCCCTTCCAGGCGCCGACGTAGTGGCAGGGCGGGGCCGAGAGGGTGCCAAGGGCCGATTGGTGGGTTATTGGGATGGGGGAGCTATCAGAAGGCAGCCTGGAGGGAGGCGGCCAATGGGCGGTGCCGGTGGGCGGGGCTCGGCTCTGAGTCGGCGGCTGACTGAGGCGAGTTGTCGCCGCGGCTGGGGGTAGTTCGGCGGGCTCGGGTCTGTGGCTGGACCCGCCGGCTGGGGCTCGGGGCTGCCGGGGGAGCGGACCGGGGCTCCCGCGCGGGGCTCGCGTGGGCTGGGCGCGGCGTGGAGCGTGTACAAGGGTCGCCTGGGGCGCGGGGGGAGGGGTCGCTGAGGCGGGTCTCGCGCCGGGGGTCGCGGTGAGGGGGAGGGGGGCGCGGCCCCTGTGGGGCTCGTGCAGCGCGCCGGGGAGTCGCTGGGGCAGGTGCGGAGTCAGCTCGGGGAGGGGATCCCGGTGCCCCCCGAGGCAAGGTGCAAAGCAGCCCCCCCCCCCGGTCTCCCTTGGCGCTGGCGTGCCGCTGTCTGGTGCGGGTGGCGCCCCTACCCGGAAATGCACATTGGCGCTTTTAGTCCTGGGAACGTGTTAGTGTTTGCGTGACCTGAGCCGGCCTGTCCCCCACCCCCGCCCCAGCCTTCACTGGGACTTGCTCCCAGCCATCCCCTCCGCTCAAGGATCAAACCATAAACACGTTGGGGGGGAGCATCATTAGTGAGGCACTTCTAGGGATTCACAAGTGTGGTGGAGGAAAAGTCCTGTTAGTGACTTCATGAGCGTGCACGCTCATGGGACTCCACTTTTCCCATTCCCCCCGTGGAGTCCGGAGTTTTGAAATGGAAGAACAGAATAGCTTTGGATTTGAAGCCATGAGTGACAGGGTTATGTTCACTATATATATGTAGCTCCTGCCTATTCTTTATGATTAATAAACATTGAGGGATTTACCTAGAATTATTTTCCTTCTGTTCTAAATTAAATCATGACGATTGCAGCTAAGATCATGGGTATTGTGGTTGCGGATAAGTAGCTCAAGTTAGATAAAGTTTTTTTGTTTTAATAGCCAGTGGCTGGATATAAACTAATGTTGCTAGTGAACTTACTGTTCTGCCCCACTCTTTGCAAACAGCTTGGTAGATTCTTTTTTTTGGACTGAGATCTCCTGGAAATGGGTGTATCTTTCTCCATATTTTTAAGTCTAGAAGATGCACCCGATGGAGGACTTTCTGAGGAATATTTCTGACAAAGTGTTTTTGAAAAGTGAACTGCAAAAGACATTATTTAAAGTTCTTGGAAGAGGAGCCTGAAAGGAAATAGAATGGCTGTGAGCATGGATGATGATGTTCCCCTCATTCTCACTCTGGATGAGAGTGGAAGCAACACCTCTGCACCCAATGAGGAGCTGGATCGGGAGGACCTGCCTAATGAAAGTAAGACCACTTTATGTTTTTTGGAGCACACAGTTTATTTTCAGTCAGATGCCGTAATTGTGGTTTGTGGGGGAGGGGGGGGGTTATTTGGGTTTTTTTCTATCCGTAGCAGTTGCTCTGTATTCTTCCTGCTGGAGCCTGAAATCTTACCAAAAAACTAATCACTCACAGTATTAGGAGTAGCCTCAAAAAAACCTATTAGGAATTTTTGTATTGTTTACTGAAAACTCTCATAACTTTAGTGAATGTCTTGGGTGATCAAGGAGTAGATGATTTGGTCTTTATTTGAGTCTGTGTGTCATGCAGCCTTTGATATTTTCAGGTAATAAATTGGGACTTTCTTGCCTGTAAATTGAAGTTTCTGTTTCAGAAACCTGTTGATCTCTCTAGAGATGTCTGTTTCACTTTGTGGATGCTTGTGGAAAGCTGTGAGTAGAAGCAATCACTATATTCACAGGGAAAGAGGACTAAAAAAGGGAAACAAAAGACCTCTTTCCTTCTTTGTTTTCTGCTCCCTGCTTTCTTTTCAGTGTCTGTCCACCTCCATGAGTGAATTTAGTCCTAGCAATGTTAGCAAAACTAATAGGATTCTGAGAAATTACATGACAAGGTCTACCTGTCATTGATTCTGATCTCAGATCTCTAAGGACCTTTCTGTAGTGTAAACACAACCATGTTGGGGGGCTCAATTACTTTATAGTTTGTCCTCCAAAACAGTGGTTCTCAGCCTCTTCTAAACTGGGACTGCCCCTTACAATGTAGCCAGTAGTCCCATTCCCTGTAACTATATGGATAGAGCTGCGTGGTTGCAACCTTCTGGCACCTAGCCACAACCTGTAGGTTGAGAATCCTTGAGTTACGACAGTTCCATTTTGCTGTGTAGATGGAATATCTCCAAGGTTTAATCCATACTCCCAAACTATGTTATAGTTCTGATCTGTCCCAACGTTGTAGTATAATTCAAGTATGTGGGTGCAACACAGTTAGGTCCTATCTACTTTACAACACAGAGCCATGGTTTATCTGTTTGGGGCCCTTGTCTAACTCTTTTTTAACTTGGGGACATGTTTAACTCTGTTGCAGCTGGGCCTTCAGACATGTGGGGATTTTTTTGGTAGTGTTGATAGTCTGTCAAAACTAGACTGCAATATTTTGTAAGTAGCTACATGCCAATTTTCTCAAAACCATGATACAAAGTAAAAATTTTAACTTAAATACAGGGGTTGTTTCTTAAAACTGTTGCAGGAGGGGTGGGCAGGAGGGACCTTTTGTTGGATAAAATTAATGCTACAAGGTTGGAATTTAAAGAAAACTAAATGAGAAGATAGAAGCTGGATTTCCTTTTAAAAATAAGGTTTTAAAGAAAAATTGTCTCCTGGTCTATTTAATTCTTTAAACACTGAATAGAGGAACTCACTTCAGTGAGGAGTGCATAAAAGGCTTATAATGACTGAGATTAAGGAAGGCAGGGTTTTATATTGTAGTGAAGTATCATGTCTTCCAGGATGCTATCACTTTTCTGTCTCACCAGATGGTCAGAATTCTGCAAAGCTGACTAGAATTTTGCTCCTAATGGATGCAGTAGTGAGGTTTTCTCACAATGCAGGCAGCAGTCTGAACAAAAATAATTGTGAGGCTTGATAGTAAGTTCTTCAAAACTCCAGCAGTTGAAGAAGACTGAGAGGGAGAGAAGTGCTGTCATCACTTGAGTCTGTTGCTTAAAGAAAGTATGTTGTCCTTCCCTAGCGCATCTTATTTGAGGATCTCAAAGTGCTGAATAAAGATTAATTAAGCTTCACAACTCCTTTGTGAGTTAAATGAGTGTTATTACCCTCATTTTACTGTAGGAAAAACTGAGACACGGGAATTAAGTGACCTTACTCAGTTACACAGTCAGTCACTAACAGTGGTGGAAAAAATAGCCTAGGAGCTCCTGACTTTTAGTTCCTTGTTTTAAACACTTGGCTGGCCTAGTGGAAAGAACACTGGACTGGGGCTCAGAAGATATAGGTTTTATTCCTGCCTTTGCCACTGTCCTAGTGGGTGAAATTGGGCAAGTAACTTCACTACTCTGCTTCAATTTCTCCGTCTGTTAAATGGGGATAATGATACTGCTCTCCTTTGTAAAGCATTTTGAGATCTACTGATGAAAAGTGCTATATAAGAGTTCAATATTATCTTAAATTTAAAAATGTTCTTCCATCATATCTCAAAGTCTGAGAGCTTTTTTATATACAATATATATTGTAAGACACATGTAAAGCCTTGCAAGTATTGGACAGCATCTATCGAGCTGCTTGGAATTATAGGCAATAAATCATACATACATATAATTTACCCCCATGTTAGTTCAGGTCCAAGATGTACTCTTCTATATGGAAATTCCTGTTGCATCAACTAGCAATGCAGGTCCAGTGCATTCAGAGCAGGACATACAGTACAAATGTTATATAGGCAACAATGTTGTACTGTGTTACCACAGTACTTCCACACTAGTCGATTTATAGCAAGTGGGAAAAGTCATTTTTTATACTCTGGTTTGAACAAGAAAAACACTGATTGCTACTGAGGCAAAAATAAATTCTAGTAGAAGTGTCAGCTGCCACTCTAGATTTTGAATGAAGCTTCCTGTCTTCAGACAATTGTAATTTTGCAAAAACACTCACACCTTTGCTGACTCTTTCCAAACTTGGGTTCTACTTAAAGGTGAATCAAAGGAAACTTTAGAAAGCCTGAGCCATTCTGTTTAATTTGTAATGGGTGGAAAATAGAGAATTATTACCCAAACTCACTTCTAAGTATGTTCTGGGCCATCCTGAAATTTATGGCATAAGACCTGCAAAGGAGGAAGCTACAGATACTTCAAAGTGAATGCATAGTGGTGCATAACCCTCCTGCATGAAGATTATGAATCCAAATTTCCTCAGTTATAAGAAGCTGTGCTGCAGTACTTACTGCGTGAATGTTCATCACAGGCCTCACAGTATTGGAGAAGGTGCTACACTTCCATAAGAATATGGGAATAAAGGAGTTCTTTTTATCAAGTACTGTCTGGTCTTGATATTAGAAAAATCCTATCAAGGAATAAGAATGTAATGAGAATGCAGTTGGCTGATGCTCTGTTCAAATAACTCACAACAGTTTTGGAGTATAATTATGGAGTAAGGGCACATTATGTACAATAAACCAGTTCAGTTTGAATAGTTTATCTACTTATCCACTTGTAGGCACGTGCCCAAAGTACTGGGCTAGAATCTAGCCGAGGAATGGTTGACATAGTTCTGCTGAAATACACAAGCATTCAGAGATGTGAATATCCACTTGCTGATTCCTATAATCAGCATAAAGCTTGAAGGAACACAAATTTCCTTGTATAAATTCTGGTTCAAGAACATAT